GTCAACTATTTTGTTTCTCATCTGTTCTTGAATTTCTTTAGATCACGGCATGATGTGTTGCTCTTTAAGCATGCTTCACTTTGTGATTTCTTGATTCAACAGGTCTGGCAGTAGTCAGGCCTGGGTGTGGCTAGTGAAATGTAACTCAGCTTTCTAAAATAATGTGGTTAATCACAGTTCTTTCATGATTTAACAGGAGGGGGCAATTAATTTTTCATGTAGGGCTAGGTAGGTTTGGACAGCTTTTTTCCCTTAATAAATGAATTCATAATTTAAAAACTGCATCTGTATTTACTTGCATTAACTTTGTGTAATATTAACATTTGTTTGATGATCTGAATCATATATATATATATATATATATATCATTACTGGCACTTTTGATATTTTTTGCTTAATTAAAGTATTAATTTCTTTTGAAAATACTGTGTCCTTTTGAATAGTATCAACTGTTTTTGACATGAAATAATTATAGTTTCTTGAGCAGCAAATCAGCATATTAAAATGATTTCTGAAGGTTCGTGGGAACCTGAAGCCTTGAGAAATGATGCTGAAAATTCCGCTTCTCCAGCACAGGAATAAATTAAAATAAAAAATATGTTCAGTTATTTTACCCTGTAAAAATCTTTTTTTGATTTATTTGCAATCATGCATTTATTTGTGGTAATAAATGTATTCTGAAATTTCTTTTTAGAATGTAGTGATAAATCAAATCCTCCAAGATTGTGGGTTTGTAATAAATGAAAAGAATGTGACCTTTGTGTGACACTCAGTGGTGAGGATCACTAGCAGCCAAGTGACCAAACCGAAAATGAAAAAAAATCTCATCTCATGTGTGACCTGCAGATGGCAGTATAGACCCACTAATGAAAAACCAAGCCCTTAATCACATCTCTGTCCTCAAGTCTCCATTCCTCATCCCCACCCTCCATCATATTTTGCATGTAAAATTTTATCGGCTTAATTTGTTTTTATTTATCTTTTATTGTATTTAATGTAAAAAGGAAAGCAGTCAATCACTAGAAAAACTCAATTACTTTAATCTGATTTATAAGCATATACATTGTTTATTATAGATACTATATACCAGAATATCCTGAAGGATTTAGCAGTCAGCCCTTGTGAGCTTTGTGTGTATGTGAGAGATTGAAGTGTGCAGTGGAGCTGAAAAAGCCCAGTGTGGTTTATGAGAGTGAGGGGCCTTCTGAGGGAATACAGGAACAGACTGTTTCAAATTTCATCCTTCAGCGCCACACTCTCCTCCTTCAAACGCTTGTGTGTGTTCAGTGTTTTAATGTGGACCATAAAGAGTTAATCCCAATCACAGATGCATGTCACAAGTTCCTATGTAAACAAAAAATGTGAAGAAAAGACAAAGTGCTGTTTTTTTTTGGTTGGTTTGAGGACAGAGTGAATGTACAGCATTATATATGTATGTGTGTGTGACAAAGATGAGGTTTGCATGAGAACACGGACGTAATGAGTGTTCCACCTGAGCACACAGAGAGAGAGGGGCAGTAATTATCTTGACACGGGGTCGCCGTCCTTTCACACCTACACACACTCTTTTCAGCCCTTTCTCTATTATTCTGTGAGAAGGCAAGAAGTGGTATAGACCATGGGAGGCCTATTTAAAAAATACCCGCTCTGTAATTACCCGGAAGAGAAAACATTACTGCCCCATCTCTGAGTGACTTTCTCTTTCAGTCATCCTCAAATCACTCTGCATAGGTTTTTGTAATTCTGTAATTAAATTTGGTATTCAGTGGGAGTTTATTAATAAATCAAAATTTTAAATTAGATTTTTATAGACAGAGACCATAATTCATTTATTTCTACATTTATTTATTTAATATGTTTGCTGATTTTATTATTCTCTCAACTACCAAAAAGAGTGCAGTACTCTAAACTGAAATGACCACATATTACCATGCTTTCATTCTCCAGGATTCTACAGAGTTTTAGACGCAAAGCAGTGCAGAAAATGAGGGAAACAAGATGAAGTGCATGGCAATGGTTTCCCTTTGAAACACCAATCATGTGGAGATTCTGGCGGTGCCCCATGACTGAAAAAGGCTGCATATAAAGGTAGGAAGGCAACAAGGCATGTCCAAATCCAATGATTGTGTCACAGCATGTCCACTGAGATACCTTCATCTTATCAATTTTTAAAGGCAGCATAGATGTGTCCTCCTCTGCCTATGATATCCCATATCCTGTGCATTCAATTCCATGAGAGTTGAGCTAAAAATTTGGTTGCAGTTGTTGGTCAGTGGTCTGTGTGTAAATGTGTTTTTTAAACAACTTTCATCCACTTTTCATTTAATTTCTATGACATTAGTATTGTAGTAATTAAATATTTGCTTAGTTAATACCAACAGTCTCTCTATTTTGTTGTAGATCATTAGACCGTTATGCCACTTCAGAATCCTGTCTGAAATCATGTTTGGGAAGCACCTTTGAATACAAATGCTGCCTTGCCTGATAGAGCAGCGAGAGAAAAAGTCAGCTGCATAAGCTTTCGGACGCAGCCGCAGTGTAATGATATTTAGGTTAAAGGTCAACAGATTTTCAACGTTCATATGATTCTGCCAGCTCAAATCAGGCTTTATGGTTAAAGTTAGTTTTGGCTAGTCTCATGGGCCTATCACACTGAGTGTGAATCAAAACAATAGATCCCTATGGAACTATTCACACCCCGATTAGTTTATTTTCCCCATCGCCCCGCAATGAAACGAGCCCCCCTATTAGATTCAAGCTTTAGATCACGTGTCCAGAGGTGCTGCTGTTGCACAAAAGGCAGATTGGTGGGTCTATAGCATAGAAAACTCTTTTAAAAACCAGTGTAAACACCAAAGAAATGTATTATATATAATCATTAAGAAAAATGCAATATTTTATTCTTTAAGCACAGCATATACTACATTGTTTGTTTTCCTAACAAGGCAAATAGAATGATAACATACTCACCGTACATCTATGGAACTCCCTGTGCTATTCTCTTTCCTTAAGAATGAGGTGTACCCAATAAAGCTGTCTTTTTCTTTTCCAATTTCTCATTTAGTAATAAAAATCACAGCTGCTGGTAGAGAAATCCATGTTCTTTCTTATTCTGTGCTTCTTACAGGCCCGGTCCCAGAATTAAATCACTGAGGGTGCTTCTAATATTAGTCATGGTGCTCTAGCCTTAATGCACATCTATTTTGACATACTTTTGACCCATCCACTGCTTTGGTTATAACTATGCCAATCATTGCTTTTTCTCGAGTGAATCCTGCATTAATATAGTGACTTATAGTGACGTGACATGTGGCCAAGTATGGTTACCCATACTAGGAATTAGTGCTCTGCATTTATCCCATCCTAAGTGCACACACAGCAGTGAACACTAGACTTGTGCCGGTATTCGGTAATGCGATATATCACGGTAATGAATATGCACGATATTGTTATCGTGGGCACTTCTAAATACCGTGAATAATTATATATTACAAATTATTCAGAATTTTGAATGCATTTTAAGAATACTTTTCCCATCAACTGGTCAAAATGCACAACACTTTAACTCTGACGTAAACAAGCGCGGACCAGAAGCACATGGCGGAACATGTGAGAGACGCTCTGGATGAAAGCGCACTTTCACTCTCTGACAACAGATGGCGCTAAACTGCAGAAATAATAATACTAATAATTAATTTAAATGCAGCCGTTACCCCGGAAACCCTGTAAACAAAGCAGCTGCACTACTTTCTGTTTCTGAAAGGTGTTTAAATGATTTAAACAGCCATTCAGATTTGTGTATTTGCTATGATGTTCATCACAGCACCAAATACTTAAATATTTAGAATAGGCTATTTATTTTCAATCTGTTTTTACATTTTAATCTGGACTACAACATGCCCTAGATATTGTTTGAAAGTGTTTTGATTCTTTATTGTTCGGTCACACTTTACATTAGGGCTTCATTAGTTAACATTAGTTAACATAAACTGCCAATGAAAAATTATTCTGAACATTCATTAATCTTAGGTATTCCAATATTTAATAACAGGTTGTTAACTAAGACTTGTATTTTTTAAACAAAGATTAATAACTTCTGTAGCAAATGTAGCTATTGCTCATTGTGAATGTTAATGCATTAACTAAGGTTAACTAATGACGTCTTATTGTAAAGTGATACCTATTGTTCTTTGTAGTTCTTTTGCACTTTAATCTGTGTAAAACTTTTAACTTTATACATTTTTCTGTATTGCTTTATTGCATTTAAATGTTCAGTTATTTTTGTTATAAGAAAAAAGTTATTAAACCTGTTATACTGTATTATGACAGCACTTTTTTAAACTAAATTTCAGTATCGTGATAACACCGTATACCGTGATAAAAGCATTAGCAATTAATCGCAACATGAAAATTTGATACCGGCATATCCCTAGTGAACACACACACACCGTGAACACACACCCATATGCAGATGTAATTTGAGTGGTGAGTGAATTCTGCCTAACTTAAATGCCTGTGATTGTCGATTGCATTCAAGAAATCAACACTTGTCTGTGATTGCTACTAGGGCTGTAAAAAAAAAATTCGAATTTCGAATATTTGTGCAAAAACACTGCATTCGAATTTTAGGTGTTCGTTAAGGAGGCAGCCTTATCAGTGGCGCACGAGATGCGATGACGATGTAAGTGTCGTTGCATTATAATGTTTTTGTTAACCTATCCAGTTCAAGCCACTAGATGCGGCGCTGCTGCTTTAATTACAAATATTGCGAGAAAAGAGAACATCAATGCGGAGAAGATCTTGTTTACGTCAAAACTGATACCAAGCCATTCACACAGAATGCATATTTCGCACATTTTCTAGAGGGACATCTATCACCGTTGCACTCGCGTCTCACACAAAAGAGCCGCATGTTTAGAAAGCCATGTAAAATTAATGCAAGTTCAACTTTGAAAAAACATATCTCGAGACTTAATGGGGGGTTTTTCCCCGTCCCACTGCAACTCGTGCTTTTAAATGAGAAATGTACCCTGTGTGATTGGCTTTCAGCCTTTGTATTAAACTATGCATACATACATGATGCTGTTTTGTTTATAGTT